ATGTGACATAATCATAATTATAATTATACCTCTACAGTTACATTATATTATTTAGTATTTAATTAGGTATAATCTATGATAACAATCGTATTATAATAAAACCTATTTTGTCATAGACGATAGGATTTGACGTTTGCGAAACGTCAAATTTATAATTTGAAATGAGAATCTTGGTTGACTGGCTAGTGAAAAAGTGTATGCTTGAAAAGCTCGAGTTAAACAATCATTGTTAATAAGCTATTCTAAAAATTAGGATAAACACAGAACTAAAGGAGAACGGCAGATTTCGTACCGCTTTGCTAAAAAAAGATTTGTCATTGTTTTGCCTTGGGCAATTGGGTAGCTATAGAATCCTCTAAATACGTTATGTTAGCATATTTAATAGATTTTTAGAACTTGGGAAGCCCTAGAAAATCTCATATTCAATAATGATAAGAAGCAATCAACAAAACGGCTACATATTAAATAAAAACAAACCGCGATTGACGTTTATAAAGTTGCCATGCGTAAACATGAAATCAGAGTATATTGAATGTCGCTATTTCATAAACTCATTTATTTTAATATCAATGGAATATTTTCCTTTCCATTTCAAACATTTTTTATAAGTAAATATCATTATTTTAATTTCATTTTGTGAGGTCTACATGGATTATTAACGATAATTAACATTTTCACAAACTTGAATATGGCAATGTTGAACTGGTATTTGACATTTGTTGTTGAAGACGATTTGTCAATGTCAAGTGCGCCTTGCTGTTGGTTTCGAATGCGGTGTTATGATGTGTTTGTACAAATTGGAAGTCATTTTATTCATCTGGTGATACTTTGAGTTGGGCAGCCGTTCCTCCGTAGCCGAAATTGCGAAAATACACTTATTTTCATTTGTGCATAGTGTGTTGTATTTTGTCGCGATGACGAATTTACAGTGCATTAATTACAACCAGAGTTTGTCGCATGAGACGGCATGCTCTAGGAAATGAGAGTGAAGACTAGACGTGGTCAACAATATCCCATTGTGGACTTATCCTAGAGATGTAAGTAGGTACTTACCTATAATTACACATGACGTATCGAAAGTCACCTTGTTGCCTAAATAAAGGGGGCATAGTGTTATCTACCTATAATGTATCATTTTATTCTAGATCTCTCCTACCGACCATATTTGCCATGCTTGCTGGCAATTAGCAATGTATTGGGATGTTCCTGAAAGTATGTCCAGCAAACAAACTGATCATTGACATGTCTGTGTCGTATGTGGGCATTCCATTGCAAGGATAAGGTGACGCAGGGGTTTAATTGAAGGCGCCAACGAACAGGAGCAAAGACTAGCTCATATAGTATCTGATTGGATTCAGCCACGAAAGGTAATAATTTATTGTATTAACCATATACTATTATCATATAATTTAAAGTCAATATGACATTCTAATAATATTACTTTTTTTAGCTTACTTCCAATGATGAAGATCGTGTTCCATGCTGGCTGAGAGCCTTAACAAGAGTCGGATCTATAAGACCACAACCTGACATACCACCTCATAGTGTTCACTATCAGGATGTAATGTGTTATGTAAACATTTAAAAAAAAAAAAAAAAAAAAATTGCCCCACACTAGGATTTTCTCCTGTGTCGTGGGTGCGTTTACAAACATACAAGTTCACATACACAATGGACTAAGCCTCACTTTAACATTGCCGTTTGTAGAACAGATGAGGCCAGAAGATGTTGATCGGCTGTCAGAGCTTCAATAGGTATGTGAAGTGTATAACCGGTTTATAATAGGTTTATACACATGTTATAATTATAATAATTGATTAATTAGCATGCTGTTTGAGCTCCTATGATGTGTGTTATAGGAATACCCTATTAAACTGTCAAACACCAAGCGGTCACCGGTGACCGCAACCTATTGTTCTATAATTGTGTCTATAATGATGGTACTCGACGAGTTAAAGGCATTTTAACATTGTAAAATCAAATAATGTAATCAAATATTTATTTTTATCTTTTCTATTTTGAGATAGGGAATCAGAATTATAACATGTGAAACTAATGGAAAAAATGTTGTTTTGTTTACTTTATTTACAGTTATCTTACTTGTTTACAGATATCAGCAATTAATGAAGTGTGTGCTGTATGACACCGCCTGCTCTCTTTTTAGAAGAAGTACTCCTAGAAACAACCTAAATACAATGAAATAAAAGTATTTCAAAATAATACATTTGTTTTATTTTAAACAGGTACCTAGTAACTATATATAAACAATCTATAAAATAAATGCCATCTTTATTTTAGATTGCTTTAGTTTTATACCAAAAATGTTCATTTTCATTTTACATTTCTTTACTTGTGTTGTGGTGGCCAGGAGGTTTAAGAAGCCCGTTTCTCATGCATGAGAGTGCAAGTTGCAACGGCAAAGTACCAATGTGACTTTTTCGAGTTATGTATATATATTTTTTATTTATTATTTAATAATCTAAGAAAGTACAAAGACACCACTGACAAACGGTGAAGGAAAACATTGTGAGGAAACCTGGGCTTATAATTTCTAATTATAAGTTTGAAATCACCAACCCACATTAAGCTAGCGTACTGATTAAACTGTCAAACACAGAGCGGTCACCGATGACCACAACCTATTGTTCTTTAATTGTGTCTATAATTACGGTACTCAACGAGTTAATGCTTAAACCTAATCCAGTGAGAAGAGACCTTCGGTCGGCATGGGCCACTTATAGACTTAATGATGAAACTGATGATGATTTTACTTATTTGACTTACTTATTAGAAATTAAACCTTAAAACGCTTGCTAAGCAACCAGTTTTCAGAAGAAATACTTTCTCAAAGAGCTACGCTTAAGTTTAAATCGAATTAACTTAAAGACTATTTGTATATCAGGCCTCTGCCTCGAATCTTGATTTTACACATTAAATCTTGCATCTGCCCGCAAGATTCAAGGTGAAGTGAGACATTAGTTTTATCATATCCGCCAAAAGACGTCCACTGCTAAATGTAGGCCTTCTACCCAATGACAGTCGCTCACAATATTAATTTGCATTTTCGTAGGCACCTAGTAAATGAAAGAGATTGTAAAGCATACTCTGTAAAACTCTATAGTTACAGCATACTTGCTGAATTAACAGTTAATTAATTTACTCATAATACAAAGTGTAACAGTCACGAGTAGCGAGCAGTGTTTAGAGTTTAGTTTGTAAACAAAACAACCAAATAAAAAATAAGTCAACATTGACATTTTTCAATTAACTGTCATCTGTCATTTGTCATATTATGTACTTTTGCGTAAAGGTGGCATTATACTTGACATTGCGTATTTGTTGTGTACGGCCAAAACAGACCATGTGTGGAGGGTTTATTCGTCTTCATTTGCTATATATGTATATTTGCACGCTTTTACATTTATAGATACTATTTGGACACCATTTGTACGTAGTTCACAAATATTTGTACAAATGAAGCGAATACGCAATGGCAAGTGTAATACCGCCTTTACGTACCTTCTGCACATTTTCAAAGTGAAATAACTTTTGAACCCGAAGTTCTAAAAATATGTAATTTTTTTCTAAACTTCATAATAAAAATATCTATCGTTTAGACCATTCACTTGGTTAAAACAATGACAAATACAAAATTTTATAGCGGTACCAAACCTCCATACAAACCTGCCATTCTCCTTTAGAAAGCTCCAGATAGGTGGTGTCAAAAAAGCCACAATTATTCGTAGGCAGCCAGCCCTATTCTCGCGCATAAGTTTTTCCATAAACAATAATAATGACGAGTGTCACTTTTGACTTAAAACGTAAACAGAAAGAAACAAAATAATAACTGCCAGTCTGATTTCACTGACATTTTGGTGCTTCAATCATTCTAAGTGACACTATGCCCGCCTTTTTAAAATCAAATCTTCAATGTCCTTTGTTAAAGATAGAATTTTGGCACATTTTCTAGGGACCTTAAAATATTAAAAGTCTACCTTTAGTAGCCACCAAAAGATAGGTTATTGATTCTAGCTAACAGCCAACAAATGAACCCGCTAATCTATGAAGATGCCGCAGAGAACTTTACGGGTTGCCGGGGTTCCGGCTCGAAGTGCAGGAGTAGGAACGGGGTAGTTTTTAGTCAGGAAGAGTCTGACACTCTCTCCAGCCTCACCCAAGCGGCAGCAGTCATTCGATGAATTTCCCCCCTTATTAAAAAAAAGTTATGAAGATCCTGGCATACTGAAGTTTCAGCGGTTTTTGGAGGCTGTGGTGGACTCGTCCCATAAAAAAATATGCCAAAAATAGATCTCAAACCGAAAAACCTTTTCGACAAGAAGTTATTAGGTAGTTTCGGCCTTTAGTTTCGTTTATCTCTTTCAAAATCTAGGACAAGACAATCTATATGAATGTTACTTTACTGAGACAGATACCTATTTGCACCTAAATGTTTGTGGTAACATTTTGTGACCACAAAGTAGAGCAATATTATCTACTAAGCGATGTTTTAACCACAGGTCTTTTGAGTCTAAATGTTTTTAAGATTTTCGTAAAATACCCCATGTGTGTGTGGCATTCTTTAGGTTTATTGAAGAGGTATTTGAAAATGTGGTGTTATACTGAATATTTAAGAATTGAAGATGTATAGTTTATTATTTATACGTTTTAGAAGAGCAGGAGCGAAGTGGCGTTAAATGTTAAAAGGCTTAAAAGGCAGGATAAAAAAAATAGCTTCAAATCCAGATTATTTTCTTAACATTATTGCTAGCGCCTACCCGTGTTACAATTTGAATTCCCATCTAAGTATTCCAACAATCCGAATAACAAAAACAGCTGAAGACGCAACACTGAAAAAAGCCTTCTAATTTTAAACACAAATGACGTCACAAAGACGTCAAATTTCCGCTTAAACACTTTATCAAATGACGAGTCGTTATTTCAAATGTAACTGGCTATTTAGTAAAATGTCGTCATTTATTTATTGTTTATATTTTTTGCAGATAATTGGAGAGCGGGAATATGCTGTTAGGCCAACGAGGAGGCCGTCAGAGGAATTACAGACTGGACAACCCTTAGAAGTTATTGTACAACAGGTAAATTTATTTTTTATTATTAGAAGCCTATCGTTGTTCATTTAATAAGTTTTGATGAAGTCGGTAAAGAAAACCATTGGTCAGTGGCCTAATTAAAATACGATTAATGACGTGGGCAACAGCACGATGACGGTTCCGCGTCGCGCACGCTGCTCATGAATAAGATTTCAAGAGTTCCGGTGTGACTTGAAACCAGTAGAGACTCTCTCGAATGTTTCATGTGAATAAGCCGTAATTTGTTATATCTAAAGATAATTACACTAAAATAAATTAGGTTGTAAAAGTCTCTAAAGGACTATTACGCAGAAGTGATTTTTTGAAGTTAAATGCCGGTTTTTTTGAAATTTATAGGACCCGGCATCACAATTTTTTTTGGCAAGTCTTAGTATCCTTGTTAATTTTCTTAGTTACTTCTTCCATACAAATGGACATTTATTTACTGACAAATACATAGGTGAGAGTGTGTGTGTGTGTATGTGTGTGTGCAATTGCGCATAAAGATTGCATAAATAAAACAAAACACCTTTACGTAAGTACAGTTGCAAAACGAAATATTAAAGTACCTTTATACCACTGGAGCTTAATTCAAAATATTTATTAAGCATATTTCTTATTATTATAATTAACATAATAATATAAAAAATTACTCAGTACGTACATTACTGGGTATTTACAAAAAGTTGGTCGTTAACTGTAGTTGGGTAACAATGTATTATGTATTTGTTTATTAATTCCGTATTTTTATTACATTAATACTTAAATGTACTTACTTAAATTATGTTGCCTTACCTAATATGTTTTTGTTATATGTTATATGAATATGTTTTTACCCGGAGGTTTAAGACGCCCGCTTCACATTATGAGGGTGCGAGTTCAAAACCTACCAACGGCAAGTACCAATATGACTTTTTCCGAGTTAAATGTACTTTCTAAGATTATCTAGACACCACTGACAAAACGATCTGTCAATCTGTTAGTTAGTGAAGCTAGGTGCTCATTCCAAAATGTAGATTCGAATGGAGAAGAACGAGCAAAAAACTCCTTTCGTTACTCTATTAAAAAGTATGTTCTACAATGTCTCTGAGACATATTCCAATACTGTACGTATATATTATGAGAACAATGCAAAGACACACTTGACGCATTATACAAATTATGCATTATAAGACTTATAGTTATTGAAGAGTTATCCCTATTTATTAGAATTCGTCTAACAGTTTTCGCTTTAGCGTAGCAAAACAGACACACGTAGTTGTAAACCTATAGCACTTAGGTGCTTTTTTTTTTAAGGGGGGAAAATCATCGAATGACTGCTCCCGCCTGGGTGAGGCGGGAGGGAGTGTCAGACTCTTACTGACTAAAAACCACCCCGTTCCTTCTCCTGCACGTCGAGTCGGAGCCCCGGTTACCCGTTAGGTTCTCCGCGACTCCGAATCGGCATCGGCCGTATTGGGCCCCATCTGTGGTGGTCGGATGGCTCTTTGAGGCGCGCGCGGAACGCGACGCGCCGTACGCTCGGGTCTGTTTCTGGTCGGACGGGGAGCCACCCCTGCTCGCCGCCCGCAGGCCCGCGCTTACGGTGGCCGGAGATCGTCCCGCGAGCACTTAGGTGCTATGGGCTATATACAGGATGCCCTGAAGTCGACCGAAACCAGGTGATCGACAAGATAGTAGTATAAGTAGACTGTTAGACAGTTATCACAAAAATATTAAAACAAATCCAAGTCACATAGTTTTTGAATTACAATGACTAATGTGTAATCCGCGAAAAAGTACGCCCTGTGTCAGTCTTTTGACTCTTGTAGCTACACTTTGTTTTTTTTTCGTCTGTATTTTTGCTTACGTTATCGTTGCCGGAAATCGAATCTGAGAACTCCTTGCCCAGTAGTTACACTTGCGACCACTCGGCCAATGACACAGTCAAAGATATAAGATATATTAATAAACGATAGTCATATTTCTCATAATCTCTACCAATGTCTAAGAAGTCTTCATCAATCATTTGACGGTTAGATAACCTCCAAAAACCGACTTTGTTTATCCAATTTAACTTAAAGGAAATATATTACCGACTTTAACTTTTTACATATAGAAGCGATAATCCTTCCGGCACACAACGATTTACACGGAACATGGAAATGTCAAAATAAGACGGCAAAACCACTAATTGAGAAGTCATGGTAAGCATAGTGTTACCGCTTAACCTCGTAACAAAAATTAAAAAGATCAACAACGAAAACTTGTTAATTACCATTCTTTCGACGAAGTACCTTTTTTGATGGTAAGGGTCAGAGTTGCAAAGGTCTTGTGAGGCAAGTCAGGCAAGTGTCACGGCATTTCAAAAGGAAACTAAACCTTGTAGGTACTTTTAAAAATATTACAATGCTAGGAAGAAACTTCAAGTCCTAAGTGAACAGGTTGCTCATAGATAGGCGTGCTCCATCGTCAGCCACATCATTGCTTACCACCAGGCGGAAACCAAGACAGTTATTCATGTCCCTGCGTCTTATCATGGTTATATCTACTGCAGATCCTGGCTTACTCGAGTTGCAGCGGTTTTGTGAGGTTGTGGCGGGCTTGTCCTATTAATAAAGGGAATCTTTACCCCATACACCATCTTCACCATCACAGACGCGGCAAAAAACCGGACTGCGTAGCTATTATCCCCTGTTCCCCAAAACATTAAGCGGTACCGTCTCTCACACAAGTTCTGATGTCTAAGGTCGAAAAAAACCTTAAGTTTTTTTACTTGAATGTTCGGTAACGATGACAAATAACAAATTACGAACATTATGTAAACTTAGTGAGGTAATTTATCAAGTTAATGTAAATAAGTTTTTACTACGAGCTTAGATACCTACTTAGAAAAAGGCTTATGTCGCGCTACATGTAGCTTGCGACTTCGTTTGCTTTGAGAGTCTTTTTTAGGATCTTAGGAGAACCGAATATTTACCATAACCCGAACAAAACGACGAAAAGCTTTCATTTTTTTATGAACTCCAGGTTTGGTAAGGCTAAAAGTGCTCTAGGGGAAGATGAAAGAAGTCTTTTTCTATCTGGACTTAAATCTGTTTCTATGCTAATTTACGTCTGAATCGGTTCATCTATTTTGTCTAATTGAGTATCAAACATGCCTACGACCACAACAACATGTGTAGAAATATTTGTGTTACTTGAAGAGAAGATTCCCTTGGAGCAAGATTGTATGAGACTTAAAGTAATTTTGACAATGATAGGATTGCTGTTGCTAATATTGAAATCTGCTTAGGAAAGATGTCGCTAGTGAGTTTTTTGAGGACAGGGTGACTAGTTTTCTAATTACTATTAAGATATTCGATTATCATAATTGTGAGTTGTTATAGGAGGTCCTGAGTGGTTCTTGATACTGGCCATAGACTTTTTTAACGACAACATAGACACGAATGTCTGCCTACGCGTTCAGGGAATGAGAGTTGTGATGTAAATTTGTATGTTGTAATCTGTTGGCCAGATGGATTAGCGTCAATTAATTATGCTTATGTCCAAAACATCCGTACATGGTCGAACAAAATATTTCTTTATTAGAACTTGGCAATAAAATATTAATAGGATTTAGCTACAGATCGTCTGTTACGGCCGCTTTTAAAAGATTTTTTTGGAATTGAAATTATTCAATTTACATCTAAACAATATTAAACCTAACTTGTGAGACTTATACCTACTAAATGGCAATAAATCAGGAACATCTAGTTCTGAAACTTCTGGATTTTATAGAATCTAGTTTAATATATTCTGTATTCCATTCTACTATGAATTGTAGATATAAAACCAACTATAGAAACAATAGAAAAAATATGGTTAAAAACAATAGTGCGATTACAGGACAGGCATCTCTGAATGGGCATAGAATTGCAAGGTTGCTCTTTTTCATAGTTTGAGTTTGTTTCGGCATTTCTTCTCAGAGTAGTCAGTTATAAAATGTCGGCCTCATCGTTCGCTTGATAAAATTGACGTGTAAAAGCGCTGCCTTGTAGCCTATTTGCAGAAATAAATTCACTTGTTTCACTCATATTTGAAAACGATAAATGGTACCCAAAACACAACCGTGTATCAACTAGGAACAAATTTGAATGTTGACATTCATCATTTTAATGAGTATTCTTTTACGTTCTCGTCTAGAAACAAAAGGCATATTTTAAGACCCTTTTCAAACTACCTAAACTCATCAAACGACTTCTTACGTGAAGGGAGTGTCAGACTCTTACTGACTAAAAACCGCTCCGTTTCTACTCCTGTTTCAAACCGGGGCCTCAGTAACCGGCTAGGTTTACCGAAGTCCTGGATATATTATGGAGTGTAATAAATATTTAGTCACATATTATTTACGTCAACTGGCTTTGACCTTTGACATTCTCTCATGATTCGTTCAGTCACAGTTTCTGGACAAAATTGCTACTCTTTCGATGTATTTCCTACGTGAACTTTGGACTTTCCTCATGTACTTTGAGTTGCTGCGTCATGCTTACTCTGTATGTTTTAATAGTTAAAGGAGGATGATTCAGTTCGATTGTTCGACATGATTTTTGTCAAATTGCGTAAGACGATAAAATGTGGGATATCAAAGCAAAGTAAAATAGTGATGATATAATAAAGTGTAACTAGATTTGGAAGAAAACAATAGATATTGCGTTTTAAAAATTATCTTTTTTTACTTATTCTACGATTCTACATGATAGCCTTAAGTAGTTAGGTACGTATCGCATAACATGACTACATTTTTTAACCCCTTCTCTACGGACTTTTGTAAAGGAGGTTGGAGCCTATGGCAACGCAACGGACGAAATTGTTCGACACTTTGATTCTTTTTTGTGTCATCAAAAGTACCTCGATGGCCGACCGGTCGCAAGCGTGACTACTGGTCATGAGGTCTCGGGTTCGATTCCCGGGTTGGGCAACGTATTACTGGTTTTTTTTAATTTCTCAGCAGTAGCACGGGGTCTGAAATTGTGCCCGATATATGG